CCTGGGCCCCTCTGCAAGCAGAGCTGAACCTTTGGCTACAACAGCTCAGGGAAGGATTTGTTGGAAATTTGGGAAGCAAAACCTGTTTTCCCAGGGAGAGGGGCACTCCTGGTGGTGATGCTGCAGCTCCCAAGGACAGGCAGAAGGACAACAGAGCTTCAGAACGGGGTGTGAGGCAGGGAAAGGTGCAGTGAGTCACCCCAAACCTCCCCAGGGGAGAACTCGGGGTGCTCTGAGGGACAATTCACAGCTCCAGCATTAGTGCAGGGAGGGACCTTCTCCAACCAGGGAATTCCTGGGAACGGGAATTGGCTCAGCTGCCCAGAGCAGGAGCCACGAGGCAGCAGCAGCTCCTCCAGCAGCCCTGCAGCTCCTGTGCTGCCCAGGGCAGGGACAAACCACAGCTCCAGGGAAGCGCCTGAAAACGCGTTCAGCGGCACATCCAGCAGCATTTCATCCAGAGGGAGCTCTGCTGGACCACAGGGCAGCAGGTACATCCCCACCTCCTTCAAAAGGGACTCAGAGATTGCTGACTGACAAAGCCAGCAGGCTCTGCAAGCACCTGCCATGCTCAGGAGCAAGGGAAGCTGCAGGTGCAGGGCAGCTCATCCCTGCAGCCAGGGGATGCCAGCCCAGCCCTGAAGCTGCTGCTGTTATTGCCTCCCAGCAGGACACTTAATTCTGCCCAGGCAGGGGGACACTCCTGCTCTCACATGATGTTTATTCTTAGAGAGGATCCCAGGGATTTTTCTTGAGCTGCTTCAGCCCCACAGCTGGCCCAGGGCCAGAGGAGCAGCACTGGACTCCTGGGCAGTGACCAGGGACAGCCCAGCGTGGCACAGACACACCACATATCTGCTGTGGCACCTGAGGCAAGAAAGGCCTGCTAACTGAGGAGAAATAAGTGCCCAGAAAGTTGTTGCTGCCACACAAAGTCCATGACAGAGTCAGTAAAAAAAGCAGATGACAGGCACAGAGCGAGGCCAAGCGACTGCTTACATCCAGCAGCTGAGCCCAATTCCTCCCGGGTGAGGCCAAAGAACAAATTCTACACTGGAGCTTTTCTGCTGTCCTGACCTGGTTTTAATGACAAAATTCCTGCTGACTGAGAGATCAACCAGCATTAGCTCCCAGTGACCAAGCACATCCAGCACAACCTCACTTGGGCAAAACTCTCAAAACCGCCTGCGACATTCAGCCTGTGAGACTCAGGTCGGTGAAGGCTCCAGTTTTTTGAGTTTTTCTTCTAGGAAATGAGCTCAAATGTTGCAAGGAGAAGAATGCAGTCTTAGTTCAAGTAGAACAGCGCCTGTGTGGCTTATCTAGTTAAAAAATGGGATGTGCTGGTAGGCAGGAGCTTGGGGAAATGCCAAGAGGAGCCACAGCACGAGGCCTTGTGTGAGTTCTCGGCCTCAAGGGGAGAATTGTCTCTCCCTGAAATCTGATGAGGTGGCAGCAGGGGCAAGAACAGTCCTTTCTGAATGAATTAATGCAGAAGAGCAGCTCCCCCCTTCCCAAGTGCATGCAGGAAGGCAGGGGGAGGAAGGGAGGAGCTGCTGCAGCCCAACCACCATTGTATTTACATTTCCGTGCTTGTGATAACAAACACATTCAAGGGTGCCTGGAAAACAAGGCTTTGGTTAGAAAACAAAAGCTGAGATTTCATGAAAGAAAGAGCAATAAAGATATTCCAGGTGTCCCTGCAGCGTTATCAGGCATGGTGTGGTGGTTTCCTTAGAGAATAATTCACTTTCTTATCCCAGGGGTGGCTGCAGTGTCCAGGGCCACCCTGAGGTGCCCTTGGACACAGCAACTCCCTTTCAAAAGGAGAAAAAGAAGGGAATAAATAAATAATTATTCAGTGTAGAACTGAAAATAAAACTCTTTTGATTTTAGTTCACATCACTTTAGGAAAGTAAAACCTTAAGTGGTAAAGTGACTCAGAATCCTCAAATCCCTGAATGGGTTGGGTTGGAGGGACCCGAAATTCCACCCAGTGCCACCCCTGCCATGGCAGGGACACCTCCCACTGTCCCAGGCTGCTCCCAGCTCTGTCCAGCCTGGCCAGGGCACTGCCAGGGATGCAGGGGCAGCCACAGCTGCTCTGGGCACCCTGTGCCAGGGCCTCACATCCCATAAAACTGACCCTAAAGATGTGGGTTTCTGGGTGCTTGTTCCCAGTTAGAGCTATTACACAACAAAATATAAATTTATCCAGCAGGTAACGTTTTCAGAAGTGTTTCCTCCCCACCTGGACAAGTGGAACCAACACAAGAACCAAGTAAAGATCCAGGTGACACCACCATGACCAAACATTCCCCTGGGTTTGGCTGGAAGAGCTCCCAATGGAGTGAGCAGGAGGAACTGGGGGATTCCTGAGGGACAGTCTGAGATAAGAGGTTTGTAAAGAACCCAAGACATTCCCAGCCAGGTGAATCCAGCCAGGAGCAGCCCAGCTCTCCCAGCTTCCCAAGGATGTGGGGGAGGAAGCTGCTGCTCTTCATCCTCACAGTCAATGAGCCTGGGTGAAACATTCCCAGATAAATCAGTGCAGGAAGCACTTCAGCTGCTCAGTGCAGCCTGTGGGAAACACCTGCTGGCTCTGCACCTCCTGAAAGCTGGAACTGTGGAGCCAGGGATGCCTGGCACTGCAGGAGGAATCCTGCCACAACTCCCCGTGTGCACAATGCAGAAATGCAAGCAGGGAAATCCTGATGGCAAAGTCACCTCCCTGGACAAGCAGGGAGGTAGAACACGACCTGCCAGAGTTCAGGGGTGCCTGGAGAGCACTCTCAGGCATGGTATTCAGTTCTAGGTGCTCCTGTGAGGAGCAGGCAATTGGACTCGATGATCCCTAGGGGTCTCTTCCAACTGGAGATATTCCATGAAGTCCAAACCCAGCCCATACATCCCAGGAGCCTGGCAGACCTTCAGACCACACTGGACCAAGCCAAGAGAGGTAGAAAAGAGGAAAAATAAAACCCACTCAAGACTGGCAGGTGCAGGGAGGAGAACACCAAGCTCTCCCATTCCTCTGCCACCTTCCCTGTCAGGTGGTGACACCCTGTGACCCCTGCAGGTCCACTCAGGCCACGGGGACAAGCACGTGGGGGACAAGCTCTGGGCACAGCCCCCCCTCCAGCCCACCCAGGGGAGATAAGCCATCTTCCTTGGCTTCTCTTCAAGTGGCTTTGAGACAACAGCTTAAGATGGTTTGGCTGGTGGCCACAGCCCTGGGAGCACCAGCAGGAGCTGGGAATGCCCCAGGGAGCCTGGGCACAGCCCCTGCAGCACTGGGAGCACCTTCCAGCCCCCTCAGGAACTGGGAGCATCTTCCAACCTTCCAGCCCCCTCAGGAACTGGGAGCATCTTCCAACCTTCCAGCTCCCTCAGGAACTGGGAGCACCTTCCAACCTTCCAGCCCCCTCAGGAACTGGGAGCACCTTCCAACCTTCCAGCCCCCTCAGGAACAGGGACACAGGAGCCTCTTCCAGTCCCACCATGAACAGGAGTATCAGCCCCACTGAAAATAAAGAGCTCTGCACCTATAGTGTTATCTCTGCATCTGACATTTAAGGATACTGAAAAAAAAGGCACCTGAGGAATAATTTTATCCATAACTGAGTTTTAGGAGACCTGTGAGGCTCCTGTGGCCTGCAGGCAGTTGCAGGAGATGACAGTGGACAGAGCTGGTGATGGTAAATCAAGGTGTGAGAGCTCTGTCCGTGTGACCCCTCTGCACTCCTGACAGCCAAGGGTCACTGGGTGGAACCAGCTCTGCCACTGACAGCTCAGGCCTTTTTACAGGAAAAGGCAGATGGATGGGTCAAACAGAGAAGAAAACAGCAGACGTTCCTCTCAGGACTTCAAGACATAACCAGCATTTGAGAACAATCCCAAACTACTCTGCAGAAGACACCTGGGTCTCTCAGTGCACACAAAAATCAGGAATAAATTGCAATTCCTCCCCCAAAGCATATCAGGTGAGCACCTGCACCTCAAACATCCCACTGCAGAGCTGATGGCAAATTCCAGAACTGGAGCTTTGCCGTGCCTTCCCCCAAAGGACAAATAAGATAAAACTTGCATCATCTGCTGCTCCCAATTCCTAACAAATCAAATCAGACTTGTTTTTCTTAGCCTAGTTTACCCATTTTAATCTTTTCTAGTCCTCTTACTCTGATAAAAAGAAGATTTGAATGACCAAGTTAAACAAGATGTGAGTCCTTTGAAGCAGAAAAGGCAAGGAAAGAAAGTCCAAGTGGCCAGAAAGGATAAGCCTGGAGTTCCACACCAGCCCTGTTATCCCAAACAGAACCCAGCAATGTCTGAAACTTCAATAAATACCTGAAAGGCTGGAGCCCCTCTGCTCTGGAGCCAGGTTGGGAGGGCTGGGAATGTTCCCTGGAGAGGAGAAGGCTCCAGGGAGAGCTCAGAGCCCTGCCAGGGCCTGAGGGGCTCCAGGAGAGCTGGAGAGGGACTGGGGACAAGGGATGGAGGGACAGGACACAGGGAATGGCTCCCACTGCCAGAGGGCAGGGATGGATGGGAGATTGGGAATTGGGAATTCCTGGCTGGGAGGGGCTGGAATGGAATTCCCAGAGCAGCTGTGGCTGCCCCTGGATCCCTGGCAGTGCCCAAGGCCAGGCTGGACAAGGCTTGGAGCACCTGGGACGGTGGGAGGTGTCCCTTCCATGGCAGGGGTGGCACTGGACGGGTTTAATCCAACTCAAACCTTTCTATGACTCTGTCTGGAAGGATTTGAACTGGCAGGATGTAAAAGAGCAGTAATTAGAAGGTTTATCAGAACAGAATGGGAAGGTGAGTGCATTCCAGCCATGCCTGCTCCACACAAGTTCCCAGGGGCAGAACTCTCATCTCAGATCTCTGGGTGGTGCCTGCAGCTCCCAGCACAGCTGCTCTGGTGCACACACAGCTGTACCAAACCCTGCTTCTCAATGAAACATCTCCTGTTGGGTGAGCAGAAAATCAGTTCCTACCTCAGGAGCAGGTGTTCCCTGGGCAGGTACTTCAGTCCTCAGGAGCTGCTTATCTGCAAGACAAAGCAGAAGGAACTGTGTGAGCAGAGCCTGGGATGGCAGCAGTTAGGGATGCTGGGACATGAGTGCTGTTACTCAGAATTAACTGAGACCTGGGAGGTTTTGCTGCAGTCCCCCTCAGCAATCCAGGCAGCTTTTCCTGGTGTTCCCTCCTCAGCAGCAGTAAGATCTCCTGATGCTGGGGTCAGGAGTGAGGGAGGGGATCCTGCACAGCTGGGGTGTCATGTCCAGCTCTGGGCTCCTCAGGCCAAGGAGCTACTGGAGAGGGTCCAGCAGGGGCCACAGAGATGTTCAGGGCTCTGGGGCATCTCTGATGAGCACAGACTGCAGGAGCTGGGCCTGCTCAGGCTGGAGAAGGGAAAGCTCCCAGGGATCCCATCAATCCACACAAATCTCCCAACCTGTGTGCCAGGAGAAGGCTGCCAGACTCTGCTCAGTGACAGGACAGGGAGCAGTGGCCACAAACCAAACCACACCAGCTGCAGCTCAGCAGCAGGAACAGCCTCTGCCCATGGAGGGGCAGAGCCTGGAATAGCTCCCAGGGAGGCTGCAGTCTCCTCTCTGGAGACATCCCAGACCCCCCTGGACACAGCCCAGGGGACCCTGCCCTGCCAGGGGGGTGGCCTGGGTGACATCCAGAGGTCCCCCCACATTCCAACCACCCTGTGATTGCTATTTCCCATCAACACTTGCTCAGCTGTTCAGGATATTCAATGAAAACTGTGAGCCACTTCTCCCTGCTTGCACACCTTAATAGGTTTCTCCAAACACAGCATTAAAGCTGAATTAATCCGGGCTGATCAGGACATCCCTGCCCTAAGCAGCATTTCAGGTGCTCAATGAATGGCTTAAGAGCTCACAGGGCCCTGCCAGTCCCTGTCACACCTGCCCAGGCACCTGTGACAGCCACATCCCAGTCACGAGCCCCCCTGATCTGCTGCAGCTCTTCTCCTGCTTTTGCCATGATTCCAGTGCAGCTGCTCCCACCAGATTTACCAGGAACCATCTCCTGACCTGGCCGTCCTGTTCCAAATTTTTCTATTTCAATATTTTTACATTTTGTTGATAATGTTTCTTAATTGTGAAGCAAACACAGCTGTTAAAAAAAATTCTATCCCAGTAATTACTCCTTCTAGCCCCCTTGCAGAAGGGAACATAAACTGAACTACAGAGTTAAAGCATTTCAATCCACATGGAGAAATAAATGATCAACTTGTTCTCCACCACTGCAAGTCATGCAGCCAATCTCCCAGGAAAACACCATCTCAGTACCTGCCCAGCAGTCAGACAGAAACACCAAGCCATGTTCCTCTCCCCACAGATGGACATTTCATGTTCTGGGGAAATGAAATGCCAGAGCTTTTAGCTAAATGAGGAAACAGCCCAGTGAAAAGTGTCATTTTAAATGCTTCAGTGAAGCACTCAGGAGTGAGAAAAACCTTCCAGAAGAGTCCTGCTCCCTTCAGGAGGGCCGGGAAGGGGAGTTAGCACATTAATTAAGGAAAGGAGTCAGCTGCACCAGGTGCTCAGTGCCCTCCCCAGAGGGACACTGCTAACACACACCACAAACCAACCCCACACCTCCTTCCTCCACACCCTTATTGGCAGGTGAGCCATCCTGTGACAAACTGGGACATCAGGGTCCCTCTGCAGCTCCTTCCCCCTGGAGAACACCCCCAGCCCCTCCCAGGGCACCACAGCCCCACTGGCTGCTCCCCTGGCCTCCAGCCCACAGCTCTTGCTGTGATCCACTCTCACACACGAGATTCCAATCTCTTTGCACTGAAACCACCAAAACTTTACCTTATTTGTTAAGAAAAACAAGCCAGAGACCTCTCTTTTCAGGCAGAATTGAAGAAAATGAGAAGCAGGAGCTCCTTTTTTAGTGCTGCTCCAGTTGAAATGGGGCAGTGCTGGGTCAGCCTGGTAACTGTGAGATAAAATCCACCACACCTTCTTGGTCTGGGCAAACCAACTTTTTCTGTGGTAAAGCTGCACCTCTGATTGCTATCCAAATAACCCCTGAAGGCAGAATTCCTGTACTGTGGGGGTCTTAACTGCCCCCATTGTAAAACTGATGCTCTTTAAGTTAGGGGGTGTTCTCACTGCCAAGCAGAAGTGTTAGACATCTAAAAAGTGACACATTTGCTGAAATTGAAGTTGTGGCTGCAAAGATTTCTTCTTATGTGTTGGGTCTTAAAATAATCTGAGAGGTATCACCCCATCCCCTCACATGATAAACTGAGGCAGACTCTGGCTGTTCCAGAAGCCTTGCTGAAGAGGAGAAAACCCATATATCCAGCAAATCCCAACTCCTGTGGCCCATGGTTATCCAGGACCGCTCTCCTGTTTGGAGAAATACCTCTGAGACCTGTTTTAAGGAGTTTAACTGTATTAATGCCCCTGCATTGTGACTCCAAGCTCCCAAGTCCCTTCCTTCCTCCCCAGCACTGTTCCCCAGAGCTGCCATGGAGAAGCAGCAGCCAGGCAAGCAGGGATCTCAGGAATGGCATTCCCCAGTGAGCCTGCCTGCATTATCAGGGAACAGGCACTGCCTGGCCTGCAGACTGCTCGTGTTTGCCATCCCTGTAAGATCCAGTTCCACATCCTGCACCAGTAGTTCTTGTTCCTCAGCTCCTCTGCTCCCCATCCTGTTAGTACAGAGCATTCCAACTTCAGAGATTCCCCTCCCAGAAAAACTGCATCCCTGCATCCCATTAGCACACTGACTACCCCAGGTTCCCACCCAGGAGCTCAGCAAGCACACCCCATCTCTAACACGCTGGTTATTCCAGGGAGTGCCAAAACCATATCCACATTTCAGGGCAAACATCAACAATACCCTTCAGGTTTTTGTAATTTTGAAGGTTCTTACTACTTTTAGCAGCACCTTCTCATCTCTACCAGTTTGCAGTGACAGCCCTTTGGAGATGAACTCCCAGCTCTGCCTGGTCCTGGGGAAAAGCACCGAGCCCATCCTGGCCAGCCACCCAAAAAGGATGTGAGGCAGCAACTGTCCCCATCCACCTCACTAAAGGATCAGCACTGGACAGTCTCCAGCTCCAGCAACCCAGGGCTTTCTGTGTGCACACGGATTGTCTCAGCCCCTGCTCAGGATGCCAGACAGGGAGCAGAGCAGTGCTCTGGATTGTCACTGATCCCAGCCAGGTGGAATGCACTCCAGTGCCACTGAGGTTGTAACAAAGAAAGAATGTGCCATTCCCCATCTCAGAAGCCCTTAACAGCTTCCTTAAATTCCCTAAACAAGCAGCACTTTCTGTTTTCCCACCCCAAATTCAGGAGTGTTTGTGTGCCTTGCAGGAGAAAGCCCCTCAACCTTGGAGTTTCCTGTTCCCTGACCCTTCAGGCCTGGTCTCCAAAGCTCTGGATAAACAGCTCCCTTTAAATAGCTCCTGTCTCCAACACATGAAGATCACTGACAGAGGAGCCAGGAGGGGTGTTGCCCATCCCAGCTCCAACATTCCACATGCAAAGCAGTCCCAGGGTGTCGGGTGCTCCAAAGGCTCCAAAGGCAGAGGCTGGTGAACCCTGAGCTAAATATACACAGTGGCCATGAAATCCAGGTTGGGCAGCTCAGATTTCCATCCCTGGCTCTCCCCAGCAATAACTACAACAACCTGACAAGGAATCACAGAATGGTTTGGTGTGGAAGGGACCTTAAAAGATCTCACTGGAATCCCTGCCATGGGCAGGGACAACTTCCCTGAGAAGGAAAATTGCCTTTATGGCCACAACCCCCTACGATGTGTCCCTGTCTGTTCCTGAACTCACCAATATCCTAAACCAAGAGTTTATTCACAAATGTATGATGGACTTTTTTCTTTCATGGGCTCCACTGGCAGATACTTCAATGAATCTTTGTTCAGCATCAAACTCCTGTTCCCACACTGGCATGAGGCATCTGGATGAAGCTGACAGTAAATCCTAGGAGAAATCGAGAAGGGAGCTGGGAAGGGGCTCAGCCTGGAGCAAAGGAGGCTCAGGGGGGCCCTTCTGGCTCTGCACAGCTCCTGCCAGGAGGGGACAGCCGGGGGGTCGGGCTGTGCTCCAGGGAACAGGGACAGGAGCAGAGGGAACGGCCTCAGGCTGGGCCAGGGCAGCTCAGGGTGGACAGCAGCAGGAATTTCCCCATGGAAAGGGGGATCAGGGATTGGAAGAGGCTGCCCACAGAGGTTTGGAGTGCCCATCCCTGGAGGTGCCCAAGGAACACCTGGATGTGGCACTCACTCAGCGCTCTGGGCCGGGAACAAGATGGGGATTGGATACAGCTTGAACTCTGTGGCATTGGAGATCTTTTCCAACCCAAATGACTCTGGGATTTGAAAGAAACTGCTTTTACATTCAACTCCAGGCTTTTGAGTGGAGCTTCTCCCAAGAGAAGTTGAGTTAGACTAATAATTTAAAGAGTCTTCAAAACACAGGATGTATTTCCACTGCACTTGAAGAGTGAAGCATTTTCTAGGGAAATATTCATGAGCAGCAAGTCAGAGCTCCACGGCAGTCACGCAAGTCCTACTGCTTGGAAAAGGAGATGATCCTCCCCAGTCCCAGGTAGAACATGGGAGGATGAAGGCCTTCCACTGCAAAGCAAGCAGATACTCTTTGGCAGCATCCACATTTCATCCTTATTAGAGGGGACAGACTTTAAAATGAGAGTCTTGGGCAGCAATTCGGGCTGACAAAGTTAAAGCCCAGTGAGGTTCATACAGTCAGACAGGAAATAAGCAGCTGCACAAGCTGGGCTGTTTTTATAGCACCACGGATTTGGGGATGTCAGGAGCAATTTGAAAAGAAGAAACAACGTGCAATGACTCTGGGAAGTTGAGGAGTGACTCACGGGGTGCCACAGTGCCAGTGTCAAGGACCAGCCAAGGACCTTCCCAAAGGGCTCTGGAGGGCTGGGCACTGCAGCAAGGGCTGCACTCACCTGGGAAGGAAAGTTCCAGAAGCCAGAGCCCTCTGGCTTGTGAGT